GTGTGTGTGTGTGTGTGTGTGTGTGTGTGTGTGTGTGTGTGTATGTATGTGTAGGGACTTTGGCCATGGGACCGTTGGGACACGTATCTCGGAGAAGTGAAGTTCTTTGGCTAGAAGCAGCCCATGCAGGTGCTGCTGTGGGGTGAGTCGTTGGTTCTGGTACTGTCCTGGCCGCTGACTGCCCCTAGGCACTGGTGTCTGCTGGCATCACGTCGTCCTGGGCCGTGAGTGCAAGGCATTGCATCGGAGCCTCTGTAGGTACCCACTCTCTTTTGCTCAGCTCTCTAGGGGTCTTCCTTCTGAGATGGGGTTGCCCTTGGGCTGATAGGAGTGGGTGGAGCTGCCTGCCAAATCCTCAAGAGTAGCCTTCCCCCTACCCCTTGACCTCAAAATAGGGGAAGTCAGTGCCTGCTGAGTGCTTGGGCCACTCGTCGCTGTTTGTGATGGGGCCTAGGCCATCAGAGCACCCCCAGAACCTCTATCCCCTCTACATTCATCCAGCCCTTTGGAAGGATGAGGCTGCCTTCCTTCCAGGGATCCTCCTGGGCTCTGGACCCTCAGAATGAAGCCCATACTCCTCCATCATGGCCTCATACCTCCTTCTCACTGCTCTCTCAGCTGCCTCCAAGCTTTGCTCCATCCTGAGGATCCATAATGTATGCGAGACAGGCCTTAGGAGCCAGGCTACCACAGGGATTTTCCTCTTCTTGCCTCATCCTTCGTTGTACCCCACCTTCAGTTGGAGAATTTCTTTCCCCACATCTCTGAACCCCACTGCTTGGCCACCAAATGATCTTCAATTCATTTCACAAAGCACGATTGAGAGTGCCAGGGTGTCAGGCACTGTTGCAAGCACTGTTCCAGGCTCACAAGTCTGGCTGGCTGGCAGCTCTGTGTGGCCTTAGACCCCAGGCTTGGAGTAGATGCTCCTAGTGTTTACTGATCTGAGCTTAAGCTCAGCTTCACAGCGGCATTCAGGCAAACAGGAATTCAAGCCCTCTGGTGAGACACCAAGCGTGATCCCAGAAACTTGTATTGACTCATTTAACCCATGACATGACAGAGCATGGTAGATCATGTGAATGTCCCATTTTACAGATGAGGAAGATGGCCTAGAGAGGTCGCAGAGTAACTTGCTTCAGGTCTCACTGTGAACTGGGTTTCCTCATTTCTAATCTAGATAGCACCTTCCTCTCAAAAGTGATTAAAGTTGATTAATACACTCAAAATAAGCCTGGCTTACAGTGGAATTAGTAAGTCCTTCAGTACCAGTACCCTTATATCCCCTGCTTCTGAAAGCATCTCATCTGTTTGGGCACATAGCAGGTACCCCTGAACCCCTGATGATTGACTGGTGATGGAGCCTTTGTCTTCCTAAGGCCAGGGAAAGGGAGACCCAAACTGCCATGCACAGAAGGCTGGGGACTAAGTTAGTGCCTGCATCTTCAGCGGTTCTCAACCTGTGGGTCGTGACCCCTTTGGGGGTCGAACGACCCTTTCACAGGGGTCGCCTAAGACCATCGGAAAACAAAAAGATATTTACATTACAATTCATAACAGTAGCAAAATTACAGTTATAGAGTAGCAACGAAAATAATTTTATGGTTGGGGGTCACCACAACATGAGGAACTAACTGTATTAAGGGGTCGTGGCATTAGGAAGGTTGAGAACTGCTGGTCTAGATAGATAGGGTTTGCTGTGGGAACAATCTCCAAACCTCAGAGGTTTAAAGCAACAAAGGATTATTTCTTGCTTGCACCACACTTATTGCATCTGCTTTAGGCTGTCCTCATTCTGGGACCCATGTGGATTAATTGGAACATTTCTGGTCTCTTGGGCAGAGGGACAGAGAGCATGAAGAAGCTCTTAAAGCTTCCACCCAGAATTGGCATTTCAGTGGCCAAAGCAGTCACATGGCCATACTTACCTACAAGGTGGGGAGGGGAAGAGGATTAGAAATATTTGGCAAACTGGCATGAATGCCTGCCACCTGCCAACCACCGTGCCTTCCTCTGTGACTTCTTCCCAAGGTCTGAGTGTCATTTATCTGTGTCACCACAGACATTGATCATGAATTAATCAAATCAATTAAAGATGAATTGAGGTGCCACATTTGAAGGGCAGGGGTATGGTGAACAAGAGTGCATATTAGGGTAATAAGTGGTGCGCAGAGGCAGCTTGCTTCTAGAACCCTGGGCAAGTTACTTGAGTTCCTTGCGTCTTCTTTTGCTCATTTATTTATTCATTCATGGGCCCAAGGACTAACGGTGAGTCTAGGCCAGGGACTCTTATCAAACACATATTTAGCTCCTAGCCTGGTGCTAGGGGCTGTGAACTGGGGTGCTGATCCCAGTTTCCTGGTGGCCTTTAAAGAGGGATATTAATGTCCATGGGAAGGGGAGCTTCCCTGGCATATCAGCCCTGAGACTTCCCCATGCTCTACCTGTATGTGGCCAGTTGGGGCTACCTTTCCTAGAAGCAGGTGCAGGTAGAGGCACTGCTACAGGCCTCTCCTTCCCCTTCCACTTCTGGGACTCGGGGCTGAGCTTGCAGGTCTAGGGGTGTGGGAGGTTACAAAAGGATGGAATCACATGGAGAACAGGCTTGAGTGTGGGGCTGGGCTGGTTCTCTGGACTGTAGAAGGGGGTCGAACCCATTTGTTAATTGTATTTCCAGTTGTGCCACCCTTACAGGACTTTAAAGAACTGGCCACACTATGGAGCTTGCTTTTGTGCTTTGTCACCTGCTTGGTCTCTGCTGACATCCAGCAGGGCCAGGAATCACTGGTAGAGGTGGTGGGACTTCAGGTTCTTCTGCATTGGTGTTAACTCACTATCCTTAGTCATATTTCTTCCTTTTTCAGGGTCTCTGTTTTGCCATCACGGAATAGAGGGAGAGGTGATGGTGGTCTACAGGAGTGGGCCTACTCTTGGCTGGTCAGTAGACCAGTGCTTTGAGAGTCTGGGGTCTAGGTGAATATCAGCATTGCTGGTTTGTCTTAGCTCCCATTATAGTAGTGTCTTCTCTCACTGAATCCGTGTGGGGTTTTCATAATGTCTCCACATCTGATTTCTCCCATAACAGCATATATTTTTGGTTCAGATAGGGCAAGTGGCTATGTTGGAACAGCACAGGGCCTGGTCATTGGGAAGTGTTCAGGGCCTCAGCCAACTTACATGTGAAGATGAATAACTTTGTCCCGCTCACAGAGTGGACAGTGGTGATGCCAGCTTTGGAGTCGTGTCTACTTTCTAGCTGAGTGACCTAGGCAAGCCTTTGATTTTTGTTTTCCCTCCCGGGCTTGGTTTTCTGATCTGTAAAGTGAGAAGAATGCCTTTCTTGCCTGTCCTGGGGTTACTGTGAAGCAGGAGTCCACACTGCAGGCTTGAGAAGCAGCATCTGAAGCCCCCGAGTTAGACCTGACACTCTGGTTAAGGACTGCTACTGCCACGCTGACAGCTCTCAGCAAAGAGCTCACTACCAGCTGATTCTGGGAACCCCACTTCCTCCACTCTTGTGCTTGGGTGGGGTTGGGGGGCTGGGCCAGACTGGGCAGTGCTGTGGTTTTTTGTCATAGAGGCAGTAAGCCTGGTAATTTGAGCGTAAGTGGGTCTGGGCAGGCTGGAGTTAAAACTCGTCATTTCTCTAGGTGTGTTCTGCCTCCCTTTCTGAGCAGCCAAGGGAGAACCCTGGTGTCCATCAGCTAGATAGCTGGAGGGACCAGCTCTGCCCTCCTTGGGCTCTGCCCACCTGTGCTGCATAGCTGAAAGCCATAGCAGTTGGCTCTAAAGTGGCCTTTGGGATCCTGGGTAAGAGGTGAGCTCCTGGTGGTGCCGCAGACTTTGTGTGTCCCTGGATTTGGGAGCGCTGAGGCTGAGCTCTCCTGCTGGGTAAGGCTTGGAGAGGGGTGGGCCAGAACCAGGGGGGGGACAGAGGTGGGCCTGAGGAGTTACGTGAACCTCCTCTCTGGGTTTTCCCTGACTATGTGTACCAGCTACTGGGGCCTGTACTAATCTACTCTGCAGGGCTCAGAGAACATGAAAAAAAGAGGCTTTTAGGAATTCCTGGTCCTAATACTCGGGAGAGTGGCCCTCATAGCAACTGGAATTAAAGGAGTGTCCCCTGCATCTCTTTCATCTGCAGCCCGCTTCTGAGTGGTAAGTCTGGGAGGGCTGAAGGCAGCAGCATATCCCCATACACACAGACCCCTGGACCCACAGAAAAGCCCCCCAGGGCACCTCATTAAACCTGGGCTTATTGGAAAGTGGCAAGTAGAAATAAGGACTACGACCACCTTAGTTTCAGATTTGGGCCTCCCAGCAAGGGGCGATCCCCCCCACCCCCTCCCCTGCTGCAGTTCAGGCCATGGTGTGACTTCCATCAGCCAGGAGTGTTTTGATCCCCAGCCTGGAGCGCCCACTCTGGTGTGCTCCTTCTCTGCCTCCTGGCTGCTGCCACTAGCTGCTCCAAGGAGAGGCTCTGGTTGCTGTGAACAGTGCCAGGAAGTGACCCTGTTTTCCTCTCCAGGTGACCTCCTTATTGTCTGGCTAGCCTGTGGATTGGCTGTCTGGTTTCAGCCCTTCACCCCTTGGCCCAGCAGTTGGGGTCTGTCCCTGGGGCTTGGTGGGGGAGGCAAGCCCCAACCCAGCCACAGCCCCTGACCAAGTAGTTTCTCACACTGGGTGAGGGGTCCAGGAAGACTTAAAGTTCCACATTATTAAAGAAAAACATTCTGACACTTGTTAAAACAGTAAGGCAGACTTTATTCAGGACTGTCGTGATAGGTATAAGGACTACTGCAATGGGGTTTTGCAGCCTGGGAGAGAGATTATGCTCAACCCCAAATACAACAAGGAAAAGTGGAAATTTATAGCTACGGAGCTGGGGGTGAAGTGGGTTGATGGATGGAAATTTCTGAGAGGATAATCCTAATCCAACAGGATTCTTGCCTGTTCAACCTAATAGGCAGGTTGGGGTGATCAGATGTTAGCTTGGGGATATGGAGGGTGATCCGAATGGAGGGTGGGGGTTCCTGGCTAAACTGACATAGCAGGATTCTTGCTAAGAACCAGACTCGACAAGGCCAGAGATGGATGCCCAAGGTCGGGCCTAGTTGAGCAGAGGGCTCCAAGGAGCCTGACTAAAGTTTGGTCAAGGAGAGGCTGTCCGTATCTGGAGGCTAGCTGAGGCCTGCTCTCAGTCTTGCCCATGGTTCTTGCACTGGCCTGAGCTCAACACTGCTCACACTTGTCCCTCAGGAGTGGTGTCCGTCCTTGTGGGCATCACTCCCTTGTTTCCAGAAACCCTAGTCCTTTTCTTTTCAGCATCCGCTGGCTCCTTGTCTCTTGGCTCCCTCACTCTGGTGGCTGGATTGCCCCTCTGCACAGAGGAATTAGCGTGGACCTGGGACCTTGGTTCCTGTGCCTCATCAGTGGTGACTCCCTTGGCGCGATCTGTTGGGTGCCAGACAGCAGCCATTTGACTCTGGACAACCTTCCCTGCCTCACCCTCTTTCCTTGGCCTCTGGAGCTCATGTTTCCTGCTTTCTGGGCAAACCAGTCTGGCGACTTCCTGGATCTCTCCCTCTCCCACCTGCTAGGGATTCATTGTCTGATTTGTTTGAGCTGGGCCAAGGGAGGTGCCCTGGGGGATCCTCCCCTCCCCCTGCCCCCCACAGTGCACTGCAGGGGCCTTCTGTCCAGATCCCACCCCCCCTTCCTTCCCTTGTCTGAGGACATCCGATTCCTGTAGCAGCCAGCCTGGTTCTCCCCCCTCCATGCCTGAGGGCTCCTGGTTCTCTCCTACCCCTGCTCTCTACTTGGCCAGACCTGCACAGATGACCCTGTTTGGTGTGTCTCCTGCTCCTGGGGCTGCTCCTGTCTCAACAGCCAGCTTTTTAGGAACCAGGTGACCTGCTGTTGTGAGAAAAAAGGGTGTGAAGAAAACCTGTTGGCAGTGGGTGGGAGCCTTCCCCCGTTCCCTAGCTTCCACTCCTGCTGGGGACCAGTGGCGGTGACAGAAGGCCACTCTGGGTAATCAGCCTTCCTGTGACAGCCATAGTCTGCTGTTCTAGCTGCTTTCTGTGAACTACAAGTACTGCTATAAACACAGATAAGTTTTGAGGGGACATGTCAACAAAAGAGTTGGTTGGGGTGTAGTCATTCCCGAGGGAGCAGGGAGGAGGGCGTGGCATGTACCTAGGTGCAGGGGTGGGGTGGGCTGGGCCGGCCCTAAAGCTCTCTCGGAGGAAGACAGATGAATTGTGCCACCTGAGGTGTCACAGGGTTTGGTGTGTTGAGGATCAGTGCCTACCTGGGTGCGGGGCCCTGCTCATTCACGCAGGAAGACAGTTGAAGAGGGACTGGTCTTAGTCTGATGGGCAAGAGCTGCCGAGGGCTTTGCGCTGGAGTGGACGCGGCTTGTGAGGGGCAGGAACTTGTTGAGGCAGCTGAGGTATGAGGGCTGCAAGTGCCAGCGTGATTCTACTTGTTGCGAAATCTCATTTGTGCTTCTTAATTTGGGGGCTAGTTATTGAACACTGAGCAGTCATCAACAAGTATCTTCTGGAAGAAGGGAGCCAAACATACATCTCCCCTCTTTCCAGTCTGCTTGCCCTGTGGCCTGGGCAGTCCGTGAGCTTGAGGTTGTTAGGACATCTTCATGCCTGCTGTGGTGGCCTGGGGGTGGGACAGGGAAGCTCCGCCAGGTAGAAAGTGTTCCATTCATGAACCACTCCCTGCCCCCCAAATGGTCTCACCGACGTGGTCCTCCCAGTCCTGGTTCTAATACGCATGTGTCATGCCCCTGAGAAGCAGGAGAAACTGGGATGGTTATTGTTGGGTCCAGACAATCAATAAAGAGGCTGGATGTCAAATTAGGGTTCCGAAGATTTTATTGAGCTGAGCTCAGCAACCGTCTCTCCGACTAAGGAAAAACAGCCCCAAGACTTGGGGGGGGGGTAAAGTTTTTATAAGACAGGGCTGTATGCAAAGCAAATTACAGAAGCCAAAAAAGAATGTGCAGTTATTTCAGTTAAAGCCGCATCCCGCTGTCACAACAGTGCCGTCATGTTCAGATGTCTTAACAGTATATCGTGACCGGGTTGAGCTGATCGCACAACCTGTTTCTCAGAGATATAGGTAATCAATTTTAGCAACTAAAGTTAACTGCTGCAAAACCTCTTTGAAGTGTTAAGATAGAGGCGAGTGGAGGAGAGGAGGGGGGGACCGAGGGATGTTGGTCTTTAACCTTTTATTCCCCAGCAGAAGCAAAGCAGGTGTACAGAAGCAAAAAGAGCTGTTAGCTCCTATGAAACGGTCTAAGCCAGTTGTGGCAAAAAACTACTTGTGCAAAACATTTTTAATATTTCTTAGAGTCTAGCGGGAGTATCTGAAGTATGATTTTTTTTTTTTAAAAAGTGAATGTGTCCGGCCTAGGGTCCGGGCCGGGGTCCCTTCAGTTATTATATTGTTCCTTAGAGGGAAACTCACTTGGAGGAAATACATCAGTGCTTCTAGTGCAGAGTATTTATTGATGTGTCCGTTAAAGGAAGCTTTTCAACAACATATATGTATCCCTTTAGTAAGGAATAATATATGAATCCATCTCACAAGTGCATCTTGTAGCTTCTATTTCCTGAAAGGTACATGGAGTTTAGTGGTTAAGGGATTGGGATTTGGAGCTGGGATTTGGAAAAACTGTTTTTAACCTGTCCTTGAAATTGGGCCAGGCCTAGAAATCTGTTGAAATAGCTTTCTTTAGCTGCTAAAGTTGGGGTGGGTTCATGACACTAGGACCTTGGGCTTCCCTGATGACTGGGAAGGGCCCCAGGAGGGTCCCTGCTGGGGCCTGGGATGCCGGTGATGCAGAGCCCCACCCTGGGGGTCTTACAGCCTCACCGTGGAGTAGACCTGACTACACATGGTGCTCTGTGCGAGTTCTTCAGGTTTCCTTTCTACCTTTCTCAGAATCTGCTCATGGTCTTCCTAGGAAAACTTTCTATTTTGGGACTTGGGGAGGAGCTGTGAGCAGGGAGCCAGCTAGCTCTCTGAATTGGGAAGTCTTTCATCTGGAGGCTGGCACTCCCCTCCTCTCCTCCCCCGGCTGCTCCTTGTTCTAGGGATACCAGAAACTGCCTGCCGAGAGCTCCAGGTAAAACTTGGGGTGCCTCCAGCCACAAACTTCAGGGATTTTAAATGTCAATTGAACTTTTTTATTAAAACAATGTAAACATGATGCAAAACACATAAAGATATATAGTGAAAATTAGCATTTCCATCCCTGACCCCTTCAGTTCTGCTCCCCTGAGGCCTATGTCACCAGATGTTGGGTGCCCAGTCAAGCATCTCTACTCCGCACTTATTTTCATGCTGGTATGCTAATTACGCTTCTCTGCACTTACTGATTTTTACTCTAAAGTTTATCTTGGGATTGCTCCAGTTCAGCACACACAGTTGAGGCCGTTCTTTTGAACAGCGGCATGTTATTCCTCTCTTTGGGAAACCACGATTTGCTTGGTCAGCTCTTCATTGATGGACATTGAGGTTGCTTCCAGTATTTGGTTTCTGCTGGTCAAACTAAGGAATGCCTTGCACGGGCTCATAGCTCTGTAGCAGAGATGGTTGGACGAGGAGTCCAGGTATTGGGTGCTTCCCACGAAAAGAAACGCTGTTTTGATTGCAAGAGGGAGAATAAAAGCTGAGTTTTTCTTTTGGAGCGATCTTGCCGTTCCGCAGTTGGAGCCTAGAGCTGGAAGGACTACAGTGGGGTGCTGGGGTGCTGCTTCCCACCACAGTCTGTCTTGTTTTCAGCTCAGATCAGCCTGTCTTCGTAGCACCTGTTGTTTGCAGCCCTTGGCTGTGCCCTGTGAGCCATGTACCCAAAGTACATGTACACTGGGGGCCAGTGTACCCAAAGTGTGATATAAGAGGGTGAAGAGGCAGCCAGAGAGGCGGTGTGAGGGGGAGGCTTCTCACTATGTGGGCTTGAGCGGCTGCAGGAGTTTGCAGGACTGGGCAGAGCATGAGGAGGAGTCTTGGCTGAGAGACAAGCTGGGGCTGGGAATCAGCGTTTAGAAGAGCAGATTTTCCCTCAGTTTCAGGAGTGGTGTGAGGGTCAGGCCTTCTGTCATGGCCTCGCTGGACTCTCCTCTGCTCTG